CCAAGAACAGACATGGGCCACTGGGAGGTTCCCTGACATGCTCGGTGCAGTCTTCCAGCAGGGGCAATCAAGGTGGGCTTCTTGTAGGAGGTGGCATCTAAACTTTACTTGGAAGGACAGGGTGGATGAACAAGAAGAAGCGTGTGGCCTGAAGTGGCAGGAAGCTCTGGGGCCCGGAAGCGGAGCTGATGGAGACAGCACAGGAGAGGTAGGCTGGAGGGGGTGGAGCAGCTGGCTCTGAGGACAGAAGGAAGGAGCTGGTGGTGGGTGGCGTGAGCATGCTTTGCAAATGACAGAGCAGGGTGGCTCCCCACGATCCATAAGATTACTTTGCCCTGCACCCCAGGCCTCCAACACCTTGGCTGAGTGGTTGAGCCAAGGGTATGAAACCCATAATGTTCTCTCCACCTGGATCACCTGGCACCTGCCTCAGTCCCTGCTCCCAGCCAGGAAAAGGGGCAGTGTCAGTGTCCTCTGGGGAGTGCTAAGCACCCTACAGTCAACAGTTAACACTAAACATTCTGCTGCTAACTCAAAGGTTGGTGGTTCAAACCCACCCTGCGGCTATAAAGGAAAAAGACATGGCCATCTGTTCCCATAGAGATGGCAGCCTGGGAAATATCCAGGTGACTGAGGACGTGAAAGAATTCGCCTGCTGGTAATCAAAATATCATTTAAGTTTCAGTTTGTTAAAAATCCAAACTATAGCGTGCGCACACACCCTTGCAATAAAATTCCTTTAAAGCTTCATCAGTAGGGATGCCCTGACTAGGGCGGAGGCTAGCAAGGCCATTCCGGTAAGTAGCAGATATGAAGCACCCCTGTCAGAGGCCTCCAGGGTGGTGGTCGGATACAGCCAGGCACGGAAGCATTCCTCAGTGGAGATAAACAAAGGCATGTGCAGCTGCACAGCGTGGTGACCTCATGGCTCCTGGAGAAAGGTAGGTCTCAATCATTTCCTAATGATCAGGGCAAAATCTGCCTTCTTTGAGGATAAACTGTATCCTCTGATCACTGTGCAAACCTGCTGATCTCGTCCTGTATGCAAGCAAACAAACCCCGTTCATTATCACTTCGTTGAAGGTATACTCACTTGCGTAGTCAGGACTCAACTCAGACAGATCGGAGGAGAAACCTGGCTGATTTCCTTCTCTGAGCGCCGGCAGGAATCAACTTGGAATTTCTCTCATCAAAATGGTCTCTGGTGCTTTTGGTTAATACTGTGCCAGCCTTCCTGGGCCCCTGGTAGTCTGACAAC